TTTTTTTCATATTGGTGTTTAGAGTTGTACCCCCTAGATCAGGTCTCTAGTAATTCTGCTCAAAGTGCACCAGATTAAAGCATTTTACTTTAAAATGTTCAAAAATCTTCCGGGGGGGGCATACCCCCAGACCCCCCTAGAGGATGTGACGTCCACCCTCCATTCTATTGTGTATTCCTTGGACACTCTATTTATCTTTATCTTTTCTATTGTAAGATTCTCTGGCTGGGGCGCCAGCTCAAATCTCGCCTAGGGCTGCAAATTGTCTAGAGCCGGCCCTGCCTATTGCACTAATACTAACTAAGTAAAATACTTATAGAACAGCACAATGGGCTTTCAAGTTATATAACATAAGTGAGATTAAAAGAGCACATTTATTATCTTTTCAAAAATGACAATTACAGTAAAGACTTCATTGCAGATATATTCTTTCTGTGCTTCAATAAGGATCTTGTGTCATTATTCGTATATGAAAAGACTTGATTATATCATATTTAAAACTCAATAATTAAAATGCTTGTTGTATTATAACCATTCATTGGAGATGTTGGAAAACGAAAACCATTATACCAAAGCAAATGTCTGATTTGGTATTCAAACTGATTCTGATTCTAATGGAAATGATAATATGGTTTTTGCATTGCGATAACTTAAATTATGTTAAAACAAATCTAAAAACTAAAAAGGATTCTAGGGAATGTTACATTTTTGAGGATTTCATATCCCAGTGATGGCGCAGGTGTTGAGTGTCTTGCTTGCATGCTACAGGGAGAAAACCTGGCCTTTTTTGGCTCCACAAAAACAAACTATATTTAGTCTCCCCCCCCTTTTTTCCGGTTTCGCTCTCAGACTCACCGCGTGCCGTTGGGAGCAGCGTTGCCGGAGGAGTACAGGCGTCCAGATGGAGGTCTGTAGCTGGAGTCCTGCACCGGGTCAGACAGGAACTTCCTCACCACCTTCCCTGAGGTGGGCCGGGCCTGCCTCCTCAGAGCCGTCACCTGACACACACACANAATAAGAATAAATACACAGATAATAATAAATACAGTGAATACAGAATTGCGCTTCAGCACAGCACACAACAACAACTAGGCAGTATGGGACAGTGTGGGGTTCATTGTCAGCAGTCTGACTGCTGAAGGGAAGAAGCTGTGTGTAGTCCTGTTTGTTCTACCCGGGAGGCTGCGGTAGCGTGTCCCAGAGCGGGTGCCACGTAGGGGGATAAACAGTGTATGGTTGGGGTGGGAAGAGTCTCTGATGATGCTTCGTGCCCTTCGCAGGCACCGCTTTTCATAGACTGAGGCTATGGAGGGGAGTGGCATCTTGATGATGCGTTGTGCGATCTTCACCACCCTCTGCAGTGATTGCTTGTCCTTGACCATGCAGTTACCGTAGCATACTGATATGCAGGTGGAGAGGATGCTCTCGATGGTGCAACGGTAGAAGTTCATTAGCACCTGGGAGGATAGGCGGAGTTTTGCCAGTTTCCTCAGGAAAAAGATGCGCTTGTGAGCCTTCTTGACTAGGGCTGAGGTGTTGGTGGTCAAGGAGAGGTCCTCCGAGATGTGGACTCCCAGGAACTTGAAGCTGGTGAACCGCTCAACCTCTTCTCCACTAAGATGGACTGGGGAGTGCGTGCCGTCTTTGTTATTTCTGAGTCCACAATGACCTCTTTCGTCTTCTTGGTGTTGAGAGCCAGGTTGTTGTTAGCGCACCACTCTGCCAGATGCTCAACCTCTTATGTATGCCGTCTCGTCATTATTGCTGACAAGCCCGACCACTGTAGTGTCGTCTGCAAACTTAACGATGGTGTTTGAGCCATGTACAGGTTTGCAGTCATGTGTGAAGAGGGAATATAGGAGGGGACTTAACACACAGCCCTGTGGGAGACCAGCCTGCCTCGAGGATGAGATTAGAGTATGTGAGCTTGTTATTCTAACATGCTGGGTCTGTTGTGAGAAAGTCCAGTTATTCCAGTTCCCAGAGGGAGGGCGTCGATGCAAGGTCACGTGAGCCTTGCGTAATCAGTTTGTGCAAGGAATTGATGCGCTGTTAAATGCCGAGCTAAAGTCACATGAACAGCGCAATCGTCGTAGTGTGCTCTGCATCAGAATGTAGAGAGCAAGGCGGTAGTGCTGATGGAGATGCGTCATCCCGGTCACTCCTGCTTCTGAAGAACTATAGGGGTCAAGTGTGGCGTGGAGGCCATGATTTAAGCCGAGCCAGCACCAGGCTCTCGAGCAACACTTTCATGCTATGTCGATGTAAGTGCCACGGTCGGTAGTTCGATAAGGCCTTGTGGAGAGTCTGCTTGGCGAACAGTACCTGGTAATGGCTGCTGTTGTCTGTACACCAGGATTTGTTGACATAATGCACATTCCTCCTCCGCGAATCTTACCACAGTCAGCTGTTCTGTCGAAGCGGGTGCAGTGACTGAAGTCTAGTAACGCCCGATCGCGCTGTCAGGAACGCCCTCATGCAGCCCTAATGACTCTGTGAAGATCAGAATGCTTCTGTGTCCAATCGTTTTTTATATCCACCAGTCCGTAGTGTCCATTTTGTGCACAGAGGACCGCACTTAGAAGGAGCAAGAGACTGGCGAGAGGGGCGTGCGGCAGCCTGGGCTGAGCTTCTCTCCGAGCGCTCTCTACAGCCCCGCTTTTGCCTGCGCATCTCCTTCGCCGTCTACGGAGCCTCACTTGTCGGGCGAGCAGTGTAAACCAAACCTGCGCTGAACCCGCTTGCTTAGCCTGATGATGTCGTCGGGCAGCGTGATGGGCGCTGAGTATCCAGTGATCCCGACATGTAACCCAAGTCCAGAAGTCTTGTCTGCTGTACAGTGGTTAGTACAGATTCTGGACGAACAGACTAAAGGATAAGTGTGCACAATAGAATTGCCGAAACTGCGCGAGCTCAAAGCCGCCAGGATATACATGGCGCCCGACCATTTTTCCATCCATCTCAGCATGATGCAGAATTGCTTCAGAATGCAGAATCTCAACTCAATAAACAATAATGCCACATGAACAGATTGATATGTGATTGCGTCAATGATCTGTGCCATTGAAAAAATGCTTATATCTTTAAAAAGCTACGTTGGTGATATGATCACAGTTTGATTTCTACATTTTTCTAAATAAAAGTAACCAAATTCACAGTTATTGTCAAACAGGAGCTTAATCCATTCTCCGCTTAATCAAATAATGTATTCACCATATTCATAATTAAATGATCGCGGAAATTATGCTTGCTACGAGATATCCATAAATACCTCCCTCGTTCAGATTAATGTCGATTGTTATTTTTTAATATTCTCCGATTTGCCGGTGTAAAATGATCGTCTGTGGTTGCCCGTACCAGCACAATCCGCTGAACACCGTAGTTGTGTTCGCTATGGCAAACAACATGACGGTAATCTGATTATTCTACAAATAAAGACGGGAGAGAAAGAAAGAATAACGTTTATGCTTTAAATTTTACACATGAGAGGCCACAAGCTCTTACTGTAGTCAGTTTCAATAAATTCTAAATGATCAGCTAAAGTCTACGACCAATTTCGCGAGGTATATGATGTACATACACTTTCAATTTATTGCCATTCAGTTACAATTCTCGGCAAAGAATATACATTAATAAAAACATACTCGTTATGGCTATTATCTGATATGCCCTCAGGCAACAAACCATTTCGACCTCGACAGAGATGCGCCCCTATTCTAGGTGATTTATTATCAGCATTATAATACTCAATATTATCCATAATACATTTATACGCGATCATCATTCTAATTGATGAACTGACATGCTGTAGTGAATCCGACAATAATAATGTGAATTTAGGTTAAGCGAATGAACATGATATGACAAACGTCCGTTTGGACAATAACTATGGATGAGCATGTTTGATTTTCTTTCTTAGGAGTGTGGAGCGAATAATGTCCTATTAAGTGTGATCATACACACGTAAGCTTTTAAAGATATACATTTTCAACACAGGAATCATTCTGACCAAATTACCACCCTATCCCAATCTTGTTCATTGCAGGTTGTTGTTTATTGAATTTTAGATTCATTCTGAAGACACATTCCTGCATCCATCGTTAGATGGGATGGGAAAAAATGGCCGGCGGCGATGTATTTATGCTGCGCTTTTTGGACTCGGCCAGGTTTCGCAAATTCGTTTTATTTGCACACTTATCTTTAGGTCTGTTCGGTCAGAACATCTGTACTAAAACAACTGTACAGGTCAGGACAAGACCTTCGGACATTGGGTACATCGTCGGGATCCACTGGAGGTATCCCCCATCACGAGCTTCCCGACGTGACATCATTCAGGCAGCAACGTGGGTTCCACCGGGTTTGTTTACAACTGCCTCCCGGACCAAGGGGCTCCGTAGGACGGCGAAGAGATCCGCAGGCAAGAACGCGAGGCTGTAGAGGAGGGCGCGTCGAAGAGAAGCTCACGGCGAGGCTCCCGCACCGCGCCCCCTTCTCCCCAGGCCTTCTCCCTCGTAATGTGGCGGTCTCGGTGCAAAAATGGGGACTATCTACGAGCTGTGGATTATAAAAAACGGTTATTGGACACAACTTCTGATTCTTCACCAGATCATGGGCTGGCATTGAGGGCGTTCCTGACCGCGCGATCCGCGCCTTACTAGACCTTCACTGCACCCGTTCGGACAGAACAGCTGACTGTGGTAGATGCGCGGAGGTAGGACTGTGCATTATGTCAGCAACGTCCTAGTTGTTACAGACAACACGACCATACCAGGTACATGTCCCAAGCAGACTCTCCAACAAGCCGCTTATTCGACTACCGACGCTTAGGCACTTACATCGAACCATCATGAAGTGTTCGGAGAGGCTGGTCCTGGCTCGGCCTTAAATCATGCCTCCCACCACACTTGACCCCTACTAGTTCTCAGACGGAGTCACGGATGACGCCATCTCCCAGCACTACACGCCTGCCTCTCCACTCTGATCAGAGCAAAACAATACGGTACGATTCCTGTTCATGACTTTAGCTCGCATTTTACACCATCATTGTCTTTCCCAAAACTGACTTACCAAGCTCAGGTTGACCTGGCCATCGACCCCTCCGCTTGACAACTGGATACTGGACTTTCTCACAAACAGCCCCAGCGACTGTTAGAATAGCAAGCTCCACATCCTCTAATCTCACCTTAGCACTGGTCTCCCCAGGGCTTTGTGTTAAGTCCCTCTGCTATTTCCCCGTCTTCACACAGTGACTGCAACCTGTACATGGCTCAAACCATCTTAAGTTTGCAGCGACACTACAGTGGTCGGGCCTGTCAGCAACAATGACGAGACGGCATACAGGGAGAGGTGACTCATCTGCAGAGTGGTGGTTTAACAACAACCTGGCTCTCAACCACCAAGAAGATCGAAGACGAGGTATTGTGGACTCTCGCGCGCGCACAAAGACTGGCACGCACTCCCAGTCCTCCTAAGTGGAGAGGAGGTTGAGCGGCGTCACCGCTTCAAGTTCCTGGGAGTTCCACAGCTCGGAGGACCGTCCCTGGAACACCAAACTCAGCCCTAGCAAGAAGGCTCACAAGCGCATCTTCTCCTGAGCGAAACTGGCAAACTGCCTATCATCCGTTTCTGCTGTAGCAGAAG